ATTTACAGATTCAGTGTAATACCTATTAAAGTACCAATGGCATATTTCACAGATATAGAACAAACACTTCAAAAATGTATTTGGCACCATAAATGACCATGAATAGGTGCTGAAATTTTGAGAAGGAAGAGGAAAGTAGAAGGAATCACAATACCTGATACCAAAGTATACTACAAGGCCACTGTAATCAAAACAGCCTGGCAATTGGCGTAAAAACAGACAGATAGAACAATGCCCAGAACAAGAGCCCAGAAATAAACCGAAGTCTCTACATTCAATTACTATTTGACACAGGGGGCAGCAACATAAAATGGAGTAAAAATAGCCTCTTCAGCAAATGGTGTTGGGAGAACTGGACAGCTACTTGCAAAAAAAGTGAAACTTGAGCACCAACTTATTCCATATACAATGGGAATTCAAGGTGAATAAAATATTTAAATATAAGCCATGAAACCATTAAAGTTTTAGAGGAGAAAGTAGGCAGCAAAATCTCAGATATTTCACACAGCATCATTTTTAGTGATATGTACCCTAGATCAAGGGACATTAAGGAAAGAATAAACAAATGGGATTGCATCAAAATAAAAAGTTTCTGCACAGCTAAAGAAAACAGTGTTAAAATAAAAAGAGAACCAACCATACAGGAAAACATATTTGCCAATGATACCTCAGAGAAGGGTTTAATCTCCAAAATATACAAAGAACTTATATGACTCCACTCTAAGAAGATAAGCAACCCAATTAAGAAATGGGCAAAGGATTTGTACAGACACTTCTTCAAGGAGGACATGGAGGGTTCAGAGACACATGAAAAGATGCAAAGTATCACTAGCCATCAGAAAGATGCAAATTAAAACCACAATGAGATACCACTTCACACTGGTCATCATAAACAAAGCAACAAACCACAAGTGTTGATGTGGTTGTGGAGAAAAGGGAACTCTAGTGCACTGATGGTGGAATTGTAGGCTGTGGAAAACAGTATGGAAATTTTCTAAAAAAACTAAAATTGAATGTGCCTTTTGACCCAGAAATTCCACTGCTAAGAGTATATCCTAAGAACCCTGAAACACCAATCCAAAAGAACCTATGCACCCCAATGTTCATAGCACAATTTACAATAGCCAAGTGCTGGAAGCAACCTAGGTGCCCATCAGTAGATGAATGGATCAAAAAACTATGGTACATCTACTCAATGGGATTCTATGCAGCAGAAAGAAAGAAGGAGCTCCTACCCTTTGCAACTGCATGGATGGAACTGGAAAGCATTATGCTGAGTGAAACAAGCCAGGCAGTGAAAGACAAATACCATATGACCTCACCTTTAACAGGAACCTAAACAACAAAACAAACAAGCAAGAAAAATATAACCCTAGACACTGAAATAGAGAACAGGTTGACAGTGAGAGAGAGGAAAGGGGAGGGAATTTCAGGGGAAAATGGTGAACAGTTTACAGGAGCAAGTTTAAGGGACACGTGGACAAAAACAAGGGTGGGTGGAATGGGAGGGAAGTGGGGATGGCTGTGGTGGTTGGCTGGGATGGGAGTAAAAGACAGAAAACTGTATTTGAACAACAATTAAAATTAAAAAAAAGAAGCAATTGTCATTATCTTTACCTTACTCTCATTTGTTTCTTTTTTTTTTTGAACTTTATTTTTGTTGTTTACACTGTTACAGATGTCTTCATTCTTGCCACCTTTGCACATCTTGTCCCCTGCCCCATAACTCCCTCTTCCCTCGGGCTATCACCATGCTGTTGCCTATCTGTGGGTTATGCATAGATGTTCTTTGGCTTATTCCTTCATTTTCTTTCATCAAGTATCATTTTGTCCCCCAAGTCAGCCCCATGTTGTAGCAGGTTGAGTCCATGATCTCTGTTATACTTTGTTAATTATCTCTTTACAGTTTGTGTTATGTGAACGTGTAAAGATATTTCACAGAGTAAAATATTTTCATTTGCCACTGACATCTAAGATGAAAGCTATATTATTCCAGGCATGGACTGCTGTAGGTTTGCCATGACTTTTCTTTCTTTCAATTTGTATTGTCAGTATGCTGAAACAATATCCCATAAAAATTTGAATTCCTTTTCCCCCAAGGGCTGACAGAGTAATATCCCATCTGGTCATTCCAAATGTATTTCTCTCTGTGACTGAGAACTTTCACTAATCTCTATTTTTTCTAGTCTCCCAAATGTCCTGCATGCAATTGATTTTAATTTTTACCACTGGGCCTTTCATTATGTGACAGCTACTTTGTGCTCATATGCATATTTGCAAAGTTGGCCAACTACAAAGTTTAAGGGTACAGTAGTATACATAAGAACCACCTGCATTTCTGACACAAATTATAAATTCAAGTGTCCCCAATACTACTATTAGTATCAATAATTTGCTAGAAGGACTCATGGAATTTACTGAAAACTATAACCCTCACAGTTATAGTTTGTTACAAAGAAAGAATACAGATTAAAATCATGCCAAGCACATAAGGCAAGCCCAGGAAAGTACCAAATATGGAGCTTCTAGTAGTCCTCTCTCTATGGAGTTTTGGACACATTATAAAATATTGCCAATCAGGGAGGCTTCACTTGAGTTTAGTATCAAAAATTTATATTTGGCTCAATCACATAAGTTTGATTGATTGTCCATATGGCTGATATCAGTTTTCAGCTCCTTAAGAGGTCAAGCTGATACCGTGTGACCCAAAGCCCCCAGCTTAAATCACATTGTTGGCCCGACTCAAAGACCCCACCCTAAATCACACTGTTACTTTGTAGCTGGCCACAGGCTCCCAAGCAAAGAAATACATTCCTGTTAAGCATGAAATTCTGTGGACTCAGAGATTACCTGCAGAAGCCAAAGGCAAATGTCAGACCTCTTATTGGGCAAGGTCATATTCTTTACCACACAATGCTACATACCCTTTAGTTAAAAGATCAGGTTACACTCCCTGCATGAAATGTATCTTGACTACTCCAAACCATGTTAGTTCCTTTTTTCTGCACTCACATTCCACTAAGTGTTTGTAACAGGCAAACAGTCACATCCTCTGATATGATCTAATAATTTGGTATGTCATTCAATGTTGCTTTTATCTGAGGCTTATTTCCTCATCTGATTAACAATTCCTTCAAAATAAGGTCCCCTCTGTTACTTTTCCTTACTGTAGTTTGTAACAAAGTCTAGACATAGTAGTTACCTGATTATCTATGGTACTGTGCAGGGAAAACATCTTTCTCATCCATTCAGAACTCATTTAATAGTAAGTTCTTTTTATAAAAGCCAAGACTCCCCCCCCCCCCCCCCCATCCCACAACCCAAAACCCTCCCCCTTTTTCCCCTTAAGTTCCCTTCCCTCTCCCCTCTGGTCGCTGCCCACTTGTTCTCTATATCATGCCAAGATCAATACCTTTGCCTCATATAACAGTGTATTAATGTAAAGAAGATAATAAAATATTGACTCTCAAGGGCATAAGTTACGGTTGGGAAGGCAATATTCTCAAATTTAGCATTTTATATAGAACATTCACATTAAAATAGCAGGTTGTTGAAATTTCTTGGAGTGGGTGGTCCAGACTATAATTATATTCTAATTTCAGACAAATTAGACATTGAAGGAGAAAAAGCATATGTGAAAGCTTAGATAAATTGGGTAGTAGCATGACCCTGAATGTGACTGAGGTCCTTAGGAAGGCAATGTAACTCCAGTTACCAATACAGATAAGTTTAGCATGTTCTAGAAGTACATCAAATGGAATTGTGCAATATTTACTCTTTTGTATAAACTGTTCACTCTGAAAAAAGTTTTAGCTTCATCCCTTTTGTCATCAGTAGGGTTTCCTTTCTTTTTTTTAATTGCTGAGTAGTATTTATTACATTGTGTAGTTACATGACACAATATTACCTATTTACCTTTTGATGGATAATTGGACTGTTTCTAGTTTAGGGCTATTGTAAATAAGGTACAGGTTATGGTTAAGATGAACCCATCTTTAAAATTGCTCTATCAGATATGGGCCATAGTAAGATTTAGCCAGGAATTTGTAGGAAAAATAATAGGTAAGGTCAGTCAGTGCTATACACATACATTGAAGAATCCAGTCCTTCACAGTACCAATAGGGAATAGTAGAGTTTAAGGCAGGAAAACTTGAACCCATCATTTTGTGACACTGAAAAAGTAATTCAGCAAATTGAATGGGAAAAATTGTAATTGATGGTCAGGAGAATTTAGTTATTGACTATCCCCTGGAAGAATAAATTGATGTAGCAGCAGTCACTGATTATCTTCATGTTGCAAGTATGCATTGTCTTCTGGCTTATTTTATAATTCTTAATGAAAATATTTTCCTAATTCTTCCCTTTCAAGAGAAAATAAATCACAGTTATATGGAGAGCTAGGGTTTAAACTATAGACTACTGTGTCTTTCAAAACTAGGAAATGAGTGGTTAATAAAGTTCATTAGCCATGGATGGGCTAAATGCAAGTGAAAAAGAAACAAATGTAAGTATTTTATAAAATTTAGTTAGGCACGAGGAAAAAAATACACAGGCTTTCATTTCTATCTGAACAGTTTTCCTTGTTTACTGGTTAGGGTTCTTGATAGGCTCACTCCATTATCTCTGAACCTGCCCATTCTAAGAATAATGCCACTTTCACTATCCTGTGCTTACATATCCTTGTGTTTATTAGACCTGCTCAGTGTAGTTTATAACACAACATGGCAAAGATACAAGTGTTCTTTTCTTATGCTAATTTATCCTAATTTCAACAGTATAGCAGGATTTGTGTTTATGTTCTATGCATTTTTCCCTAACAACAAGTAATTTATTTTGGCTTTTCTATAGATCAAAATAGTGAGATAGACTGTCCCATAATGGGTTATTTGTATATATATATATATATATATATATATATATATATATATATATATATATATATAATTCATAACATTTATGTGAAGTCTTACAGTGTTCTTTATTTTATTTTGTTTTCTAGAAGAAGATGGGAAAGCTGAAGATGTTCTAATGAAGTTTAAAGAATACCAAAACAGGCATTTTAGATCAGTTGTATTCATCAACCACAAAAGACTAACTAAGGAAAGAAGTAATGTTTGGGGGGAAACACTTACTGTAGGCAAGAACTATATTATTTCAAAAACAACACTACATGAATATAAACCTGATAGAAAGGTTTTGAAAAATATTTCAGAATTGGTCATTAGAAATATAAGCCCTGTAAGAGAGAAATTTGGTGAGAGTAATGGATGGGAGAAATCACTCCTAAATACTAAGCATGAGAAAATTCATACTGCAGTGAATCTCTATACACAAACAGACTGGGATCTGAGTAATGAACAGGAACTTATTCAACAACAGAAGGTTCAAACTGCAGAGCAATCATTTGAACAAAATGAGTGTGAAAATTCCTTCCTTGTGAAAGGAATGTTATTTACACATACTAGAACTCACAGAGGAGGAGAAAGACTCTTTGGATACAATAAAAATGTAATGCCTTTCACCAAAAAGTCAAATCCAAGTGTCCATCCACAAAATCTTATGGAGATGAAGCCCCATGCGTATAGCAAATATGGGAAATTCCTCTGCAGGAAGTCCATTCTTATTATGCATCAGAGATCTCAAATAGAAGAGAAACCCTTTCATTGTCCTTACTGTGGGAATAGCTTTAGAAGGAAGTCATATCTCATTGAACACCAGCGAATTCACACAGGTGAGAAACCTTATGTTTGCAATCAGTGTGGAAAAGCCTTCCGTCAAAAGACAGCCCTCACTCTTCATGAGAAAACACATGTTGAGGGGAAACCCTACATTTGTGTGGATTGTGGGAAGTCCTTCCGCCAGAAGGCAACCCTCACTAGACATTACAAAATACATACAGGGGAGAAAGCCTATGAATGTACTCAGTGTGGAAGTGCTTTTAGAAAGAAGTCATACCTCATTGATCATCAGAGAACTCATACAGGAGAGAAACCATATCAATGTAATGAATGTGGAAAGGCATTTATCCAGAAGACAACCCTCACTGTACACCAAAGAACTCACACAGGAGAGAAACCCTATATTTGTAGTGAGTGTGGAAAGTCCTTCTGCCAAAAGACAACCCTCACTCTCCATCAAAGAATTCATACAGGGGAAAAACCCTATATTTGTAATGAATGTGGAAAGTCCTTTCGCCAGAAGGCAATCCTCACTGTTCATCAGAGAATACATACAGGAGAGAAGTCCAATGGATGTCCTCAATGTGGGAAAGCCTTTAGTAGGAAATCAAACCTCATTCGCCATCAGAAAACTCATACAGGAGAGAAACCATATGAATGTAAAGAATGTGGGAAGTTCTTCAGTTGCAAGTCAAACCTCATTGTCCATCAGAAAACTCACAAGGTAGAAACCATGGAAATATAGTAAAGGATGTGACTTTATTTTTATAAAAAACCTTTAAAGTCATAATAAATGCCATATTGATGTTGCTTGCAAATGTAATAATATTAAATAGTTTAAGGCACTATAAACATACTGTTTACTAGATGATAAAGCACACACACAGAATTCTAGTCAAAATAAATGACAAAAGTCATTGAAAATACAAGTTCCAACTTTTATTAGATTCACAGGACATAAACTTTCTCTGTCAAGTTGCTACACACATTTAAAATTGCTTGTTTTCAATTTCAGTACCTACCTGGTTGTAAACCAGTAATACACAGTTGGTATATAGACCATGCTATAAGCAAAGGACATTTAAAAGGAAAGTAGTGAACTGTATTTTTCATTGCAAATATGGAATAAGCTGTTACCTCCTAAGAGTTAACCACAGTTCTAACTTCTAACATTATAAATTAGTTTTTGCATATTATAAACTTTATATAAATTGAATTATATACCATGTATTAATTTTTTTTACATTTGGCTTATTTCATTATGTCTCTAAAATTCATCATTAGTGCATTTGGCAGAAATTTGTATATTCTGTATAGAATCTCATATAAATGTATCACAGCTTATCCACCTATTTTTGGTGGACTTTTTCTTTGTTTACAGCTTAGGATCATAATAAATAATGCTTTTGTGAATATATTTGCTTTTGGTGTACATATATATATTTCCCTTGTGTATATACTTAGGAGTGGATTTTCTGGTTACTGAGGCATATTTGTGTTTGGTTGGCTTTGGTTGATACTACCAAACAACTCAGAATGTTCACAGTATGAGATAATTTATTCTGAAGAGAAACAACTGCATATTGTCAGTATGGTGATGGTTCAAACCAAAAAATTCATGGTAGAAGGAACTCTATGAGTGTTGTGAAAACTGGGAATCTGAATGTAATACATGTGCAAAGGCTTTAGTCAGAGCCCACATTTTAATATACCTAATACCAAACAAATGTAATAAATGTGCGATTACCTCTAGCCACAATAATGCCTTATGTGAAATCAGAAAGTTATACTACAGAAAGGGAGGCACTTAGCAACGTCCTTGCTCATTATGAGAGAATTCTAACTGGAGAAAAACCCTATGAATAAAATGAAGAGTTTGGGGGATAACCTTTACCTATAGCCCATATCTTACCAGTTATATAAAAATGGTGAATATGGGAAAGTTAGCCATAGCTTAAATGTTAATACAACACCAGAAAATTCACATTATAATGGGAACTATTCAAATAGAATTTTGTAAGAATAACTTTAGCCATATTTCACTCCATATACAACACCAAACAATTCATACTGAAGAAAAGAAAATTAAATGAGGAATATAAGGTTTTTAACTTTAACTCTGGGGAATGCTGCTTCCATGAAAGAAGTCCAACCATACGGAGATCATTGTGCTAGAGACTATGTGTAGGCGCTCTGGACAATAGCCCCAGCTAAGTTCCTAGTGATCATCCAACTGAGCCATCTTGGACATCCCATCAAGTTTTCAGATGACTGTAGTCCACTGGCATCCAACTGCCACCACATGAGTGACCCTACTATAGACCCATAAAAAATATTAGAATGCAGAGAAATCAAAACCTTTGTACATTGCTGATGAGACTATAAAATGGTATGTTCAATGTGAAATACAGTGACAGATCTAGGTAGGCTTAGGAAGAATGGAAATCACCAGGCAGGAAAACTGTACCATGGGAAACTGTAGCCTGGGAAAATGCCTGCCTGGAACACTGCCTGCCGACCCTACCCAGGACGAAAAGATGCCTGGTTAAGATTCGGGTCTGGGGTCAGCCTATGAGGCATAACATCAGGGTGCAGCTTTAACATCAGCCTGAAAAGATGTATCAAGAACAATGGTCAGCAGAAATGACACCCAGCAACCAGCTCTAGCCAATCACTCTGACACCCCAACCAGTTACCCTTCTCAGGTTTTTGCGCTTAAAAACCTGCCTTAAGGCCAGGTGCTGAAAGACAAATACCATATGATCTCGATACCTTTAACAGGATGCTAAACAATAAAATAAACAAGCAAGCAGAAAAAAAAACCAAACAAAGACACTGAAATAGAGAACAAGGGGACAGTGACCAGAGGGGAGAGGGAAGGGAAGTTAAGGGGAAAAAGAGGGAGGGATTTGGAGGAACAAATAGGAAGGACACAGGGACGAGAACTAAGGGGGGTGGAAATGGGAGGGAGGTGGGGAGCAAGGGGCGGGGGAGGCTGGGAGGGGGGAAATAGACAAAAAAACTGTACTTGAAAAATAACTAAATAAAATTAATTTAAAAAAAAAGAACAACCGAGTGAATCTTAACCTCCCTTTGTTCACTCTCTGTAATCCCCAGCACTGTTGAGTCCCAACCTCCCTTTGTTGGCTCCACTTTTCCTCCTTATTTCCCCCTAATAAACCCTACTCCTTAGCTCACTGCGTCTAGTTTCTTCAGCGACTCTGACCTAACAGACAGTATGGCAGTTCCTCAAAAAATTAAACATACAATTACCATATGATCTGGCTATTCCATTTCTGGGTATCTACCCAAAATCTTAAAAGCAGAGACCTAACGAGATATTTGTACACCATGTTCCTAGCAGCATTATTCGCAATAGCCAAAAGATGGAAGCAACCCAAGTATCCATCAATGGATGAATGGATAAATAAAATACAGTAAATGTATACAAGAGAGTATTATTCATCCTTAAAAAGAAACTTCTGACACATGCTACAACATAAATGAACCTTGAGGACACTATACTAAGTAGAGTAAAATAAGTCATACATGAAAGGACAAACATTGTATGATTCAACTCATATGAGTTCCCTAGAGTATTGAAATTCATAGAGATAGGAAAGAAAGAAATTGAGAGTTATTATTTAATGAGGACATAGTTTCATTTTGAGAGATGAAAAAATTCTGCAGTTGAATGCAGTGATGGTTGTACAACCATGCGAATGAAATTAATGCCAATGAATTTATACTCAAAGAAGTTAAGATGGTAATAAATTTGATTATTCATATTTTACAATTGCATGTAAATAAATAAATGACTCCTATCAAAATAATTAAGTACTAAGAAAACAACTTAAACAGCCTAATGACAAAGTGGCAAAATTTCATACAAAGAGTAAGTATAAATAGCAAATATGCTTTTAAAAAATGTTAAGTCTAATTAATAAAAACTAAAAATACAGTACAATTTTACATTCACTATTATGTAGTAAAAATAATTAACTTTCCCTAAAGGAGGTCAGGCATTTCTCCTGGATCCTGGAATTTCCCAAGAGATAGGAGTGTCTTTGTTTTCATAGTGAGGCCCTTGGACCACACTTGACTGTTTACATTTACTCAGTGATTCCTGGTGGGAGTTGCCCATGCCAGAAAAATGAATTATATGATTAAAGGGTTGGGTCCGTGGGTCAGATGGAATCAGACTCCATAGAAAGGAAGAAAGCTGGACATTAAGTTCAACCATATGTGCAATAACTTAATCAAGCATGCCTATGTAATTAAGCCTCAATTAAAAACTTTGGACACTGAAGCTCAGGAGAACATCCTGGACTGGCAATATTCCATGCATCCAGCATAAGGCAGAAGTAGGTTTATCATTGTTCATGTAGAAAATAATACTGTAAGAATAAACTCTGTGTTTTGCATATTCCCAGATGTAAGCCTACTTTTGACTCACCCTGTATTGTCATGCATGAATGACAGGAAAATGCACCCAAGGACATGGAAACCACCTATGGAACCATCCCAGATTCTGCCCTGCATCTCTTCCTTTGGCTGGTTCTAATCCTTTTGCTGGTATTCTTATGCTATAATAAAACTAATCATACATATAGTATTAGGTTCCTGAGTTGTGTGAGTTGTTCTAGTCAATTACCAAATTTGAGGGAGTCCATGAAGATCCTCAAATTTGTAACTAGCTAATCTGAAATGAGGATGACTCTTGGATCCCTTGAATTTTCAGCAGGTGTCAGAAGTCTCTGGCATATTTTGCAGTCTGGAAGACTGTGCACTTAACATATATGAATCCTATAAATATCATATTAAGTGAAAAAAATCAGGGACTATGCCATATAGTATGAAACAATTTTTATAATAAATAGTAGCAAAAAAACTAAATACATTGCTTAGGGATACAAACATACAGGATAAAACTATTATAGTGGCCTTATAGTATAGTTTGATATCAGGAGTTGTGATACCTCCAGCTTTGTTCTTTTGTAAGACTGCTGAGGCTATATAAAGTCTTTAGTGGTTCCATATGAATTTTTGAAAATTTTATTCTAGTTTGGTAAAATATGGCATTGGTATTTTAATAGGAATTGTGTTGAATGTATTGATTGCTTTGGGTAGAAAAGACATTTTAATTATGTAAAATTTTTCCATTCCATGAACTCAGCATATGCTTCTACTTATTTGTCTAGTATAAAGGCACTGTAATAAAAACAGCTTGGTACCAGCATAAGAACAGACATATAGATCAATGGAACAGGAAGAGAGCCTAGGAATAAACCTATAGGGAACCAATCTGCCTGGCAATGACAATTGTAGCTCAGCCCTACTGAAAAGCCCAATAGGGCCTGCAGGAGCCAATAGGGCTTGCACAGATTGGTTTTCCCATGGGAAATAAGGACTGCATTATACCTAGGCTGCTTTGAGACTTGCTCTTCCTAAAACTCCCTCACCCTGAGTTCAGGCAGCAAATGCTTACTGCATATCTTTAAAGTAACTTCCTGAAGTCTGTGCTAATTCTCCCAAGGACTGAAGTGTAACCAGACCAATTACTCTTATCCTTCCCTTTCATTTGCAACATTTTTTCTTTGTTAATCTGTAAGAAGTAATCAGTAACTTCCTTTCCATTGCTATCTCTAAAAAGTAATTACCTAAAGCAAACCTAAGCATAATGAATGAAAACCTTCTTTAATGTATGCTATTAGAAAGTCGATAAAAGCCTGTCAAGGCAAGGGTTGGGGTGCTCTCCTATTGAGAGAGTGGCTATGCTGCCCTTTTCCTCTACAGGACTCAGTAGTCTGTCTTGTCTCATCCATAATGCTGTGGACACTGCCGGCCAGTGTCTGTGTCATAAACCCATGACTTTATAATCAATAGATAACTGACAAAAGGTGAAAAAAAGCATACAATGGGGCAAAGACAATCTCTTCAATAAATGGTGCTGGGAAAACTGCACGGGTATGTGCAAAAAAAAAAAAAAAAGAAACTAGACCACCAACTTGTACCATACACAAGAATAAACTCAAAATTGAAAAAAATCCATAAATGTAAGTCATGAAACCATAAAAATACTAGAAAACAAAGGCAGTAAAATCTCAGATATATCACATAGCAATATTTTTTGCTGATGTATCTCTTAGGGCATTGGAAACAAGTAAGAAAATAAATAAATGGGACTACATCAAATTAAAAGGCTGCTGCATAACT